TAGTTCTCGAACCCATAGGGTCCGCACACTTAAAGTTCAGTGACGATCGTAATTAGGGTTTTTGTGTTTTGATGTACCGAAGGTTGTTCGGAGTCCCGGATGTGATCATGGACATGACGAGGAGTCTCGAAATGGTCGAGACATAAAGATTGATATATTGAAAGCCTATATTTGGATATCGGAATCATTCCGGGTGAAATCGGAATTTTACCGGAGTACCGGGGGTTACCGGAACCCCCCACCCCTAGGGGTTAATGGGCCTACATGGGCCCTAAGGGAGAAGAGGAGAGCCGGCCAGGGCAGGCTGCGTGCCCCCTCCCCCCCTAGTCCGAATAGGACAAGGAAGGGGGGGGCGCCCCCCTTTCCTCTTTCCCCCTTCCCCTTTACTTCTCCAACAAGGCAAGAGGGGGGAGTCCTACTCCCGGTGAGAGTAGGACTCCTCCAAGTGCACCCTTAGGGGCCGGCCGCACCTCCCCCTTCCTCCTTTATATACGGGGGCAGGGGGACACCCCCTGACACACAAGTTGATCTTCATGATCGTTCCTTAGCCGTGTGCGGTGCCCCCTTCCACCATATTCCACCTCGGTCATATCGTAGTGGTGCTTAGGCAAAGCCCTGCGTCGGTACAACATCATCACCATCATCACGCCGTCGTGCTGACAAAACTTTCCCTCAACACTCGGCTGGATCGGAGCTCGAGGGACGTCACCGAGTTGAACGTGTGCAGAACTCGGAGGTGTCGTATGTTCGGTACTTGGATCGGTCGGATCGGGAAGACGTACGACTACTTCCTCTACGTTGTGTCAACGCTTCCGTTGCCGGCCTACGAGGGTACGTAGACAACACTCTCCCCTTTCGTTGCTTTGCATCACCATGATCTTGCGTGTGCGTAGGAAAATTTTGAAATTACTACGTTTCCCAACAAGTTGTGCTTATGTGGCAACTATGGTTGACCATGCATGGCAACTATGGTTTAACCACACGTGGCAACTAGTTAATCACACACGACAACTATGTTTGACCATACATGACAACTATGGCTTGACCACACGTGGCAACTCCAATTAGTTACACATGGTAACTATAATTAATGATGCATTGCAACTAATGTTAATCACATATGACAACTATAGTAATTAGACATGGCAACTATAGTTAATTACACATGGCAACTAAAGTTAATCACACATGCGTTCGCGCTCACGGGGTAGGGATGAGCAGTTGGCACACAGGGTTGTGTGGTCCATCGTAGCTGCACCCGAACGTGTGGGCAGTTTTAATGTTCGCCCACACGGGGCCGTGTCGGCTGGCTTCTGGATACAACCGGACGAGTCGTGTGGTCCGGTGTCCATTATGTCATACGTGTGATAGTTATCGGCGTCCTACTAAATAACAACAAAATCTGTTGAGCAAGAAGCAAGCGATCTCATGACATGAAATTTTAGATTCCTGAGGAACCCCTGTACTATATCACTATTCAATATTCATTTCCTTACTCTGAGAAGGTGAACAAGTCATGTGATCATAATTATCTTGATTGTGATACTTCCTAACTAAACATGGACAGACATGCCTAATATATTTTGAGCCAACTATTTGTTGAATTAGACCGGCAGCGTTGCCCATGTTTTGGTGAATAGTTTTCAGTTTGGCTTGAGCGGCACAGTGGTTCGCCCATGCATTTGACCAGTTCAGCCCATGATCGATATGCAAACCTAACAGAGAGTTTAATTAGCAAATGTTTCCGTCCCGGCACGTCGGCTTGCATGCACATGGCGCAATAATGTGGGTGCCAAATCTAATACTGGTCCATATTAATCCTAGCAGATGTTCTGAATCAACCCATATGTACCGTGCAGCCAAGAATCACTTATGTGGACTATGCATAATTGCCTTGCATATGCGACCGGGATTTAAAATTTCACCAAAACTTTAGAAACTTTGGCGGCAACAATTATTTCCTCATTTGGTTAGATAATTTCAGTTGTACATAAATTCAAGGTAAGTTCAAAGATAAGTTTTTCAAACAATATATTTCCAGCCCACTGGCAGAACTGCTATCCCAAACTGGAAGAATCTTTCACTCACTTGGCCCTTTCTAACGCTGGTACACAATCACACACAAAATTCAGGCACGTATACAAAATGCAGTCTCACTAGTAGAAAACAGGGCTTTGGTCCAAGCTTAATGTACACATTAGTCCCGGTTGCATTACGAACCGGGACTAATGTGAGCACTAGTCCCGGTAGCATTACGAACCGGGACTAATGTGAGCACTAGTCCCGGTTCAAACGGCTAGGGCATCAGAAAGGCATTAGTCCCGGCTCAAATGGGATCTTTAGTCCCGGTTTGAGACACGAACCGGGACTAAAGGGTGCGATGCCCTTTAGTTCCGGTTCGTGTCTCAAACCGGGACTAAAGATTATGCCTTT